GCCTGACCAGCTAAGACCAGGCTGGAAATGCCTGGAAACCAGCCAAAACCCCTATAAAACCAGCCTGGTCGACCAGCTAAAACCAGCCAACCAGCCTAGTCTGGTTTAAGCTGGATTTTTCAGCAGGGTAACAGATAATGAATTCACTATTTGCTAATGCTTAATAAGGGATTTATAGTGTGTAGTTATTATAAAGTATTACCATTAAAAGTAATATCAAATACTTAAATCAATGGCAACATGTAAAACTATCTGAGATCAAGCTGCTCTGTTTACTTTGTGTGAATAACGTCAACAAATCACATTGAAAGCAACATGTTTGCTCATTTTTTTAAAGTAAAGTTTACTCCTCACTTGCTACAGCGCACAATGATGCTTAAAAATAACATTTTTGTCGACGGCATTCGTGGATATCATGGTGTTCGTCAAGATGCATGTAATTGTTCGGGGAGGTTGAGGGACGTGCTGAAATTAACGCGCGGCTCGTCCTGCAGTTAGTGTGAGCCCATAATGACGCTGATCATTACAGATGAGAATTCCCTTAAACAGCCTGGGTTTTGGATCCGGAACGCTCCACTCCATCTCCAGAGCCACCAACCACTGCTGCCGCCAAAAATAACACAGCAGCGCCACTCCAGCCCGCGCCTCACCACAGAGCGGCCCGCCGCAAGAGCCGGGATCAAAACACACACAAAAAAGGAAACACAGCACATTGGGGGAAGGAAAAAATTGTTCATATAACTTTACTCGACTTCTTATAAGATACACAGAATCTGCTGATGATTTTGGCTCCTGGTGAAGCCACAAAATCGAATCTACAGACGGGGCCAAGGCTGCAGAGAGAAACTGTGTGTGTGTGTGAGTGTGTGTTTGAGCTCAATGGAGATCTGATGAAATAAATTGCCTGCAGTGGTGGTTCATAGTAAAGTCATTCAGCAATGGCAATTACATTAATAATTCAGTGAACAGCTCATCAAATGCTCAGATTAAAGCTTGATAAATGAGACGACATGGCGCTGCTACGGTGAAAGGATCATTTATGCATGGATACAGCAGATTTAATTAGTTTTCTTCTGGTCATGTTTATGACCAAGCGCATTACAGCTTCATTTTCAGCCTACACACAGGATTGTAAAATGATTGTGTTTAATTAAATGTAAACTTTGGGAAAATGTTTAATTGAACAGTGTTGACCTTTTTATGTGAGCACCACGGTTGTAGATCGAATTATGGACAAGAAAACAAAAGTGCTGTCACGTAGGCCCCAGTCACTCTCTAGGAGCTTATCAAAACACAATGCTGCCCCACTGAGGACGCAAGACTGCTGCACATCAGTCCAGAATAAAACTGACTCATTCATTTTCCTTTGGCTTATAGTCCCTTTATTCATCAGGGGTCGCCACAGCGGAATGAACCGACAACTTTACCCTTCCAGCCGCAACCCAGAACTGGAAAACACCCATACACTCTCACATTCACAAACAGCGCATGTGTTTAGACTGTGGGGAAAACTGGAGCACCCGGAGGAAACCCACACCAACAAGGGGAGAACTTGCAAACTCCACACAGAAACGCCAACTGGTACAGTCGGGACTCGAACCAGCGACCTTCTTGGTGTGAGGTCATAGTTCTATAACCTCTGAGCCAATATGTCGCCCCGAGAATAACATAAATGACAAACTTTACCGAAGTAAATAATAATTAATAAATTTTCCTTCAGCTTAGTCCCTTTACTAATTAGGGGTCGCCACGGTGGAATGAACCGCCAACTTATTCAGCATGTTTTACACAACGGATGCCCTTCTAGCTACAACCCAGTACTGGGAAATACATTATAATATTTTTAAGAACCAAATGCTTTGTGGATGGTTTTTAGCAGCTGTTGGGATGTTTTTGAGTTTGTTTTCCAATTGACCCAGCCGAGACTCAAACCAGCGACCTTCTTGCTGTGAGGCCCTGTGTCGCTTCGAGAATAAAATAAAGGACAAAAACTTTACCAAAGTAAATGAATAAACTAAAATAATTCATTCATTTTCCTTAAGCCTAGTCCCTTTATTCATCAAGGGTCTCCACAGCGGAATGAACTGCCAACTTATTCAGCATGTTTTACATAACGGATGCCTTTCCAGCTGCAACCCAGTCCTGGGAAATAAAGTAGTCATTTTTAAGAAAATCAATGCTTTGTGGATGGTTTTTTGCAGCTGTTAGGATGTTTTTGCATTTGTTTTTGGTGTGTTTTTATTGGTTTTAAGCATTGACATACAGTTTCTGATTTGTTTTTATCATTGCTGTGCAGCTGTTCAAGTGTTCTGTTTGGTTATTAGCGTTTCTGACCGGTTGCTGGGGTTTTTTGGTTGGTTTGTAGCATGTTGCTGTCAGGTTGTTGAGGTGTTTTGATTGATCTCTAAATTTAGTCACACAGAAAATCCCAAATTTAGGCCTGTATGATTAATATTCTTAATTAATGCAAGTAATATATATTACACACTCATTCACACACACTCATAATCCAATTTAGTTGATCAGTTCCCCTATAGCACATGTGTTTGGACTGTGGGGGAAACTGGAGCACCCAGAGGAAACCCACACCAACACGGAGAGAAAATGCAAACTCCACACAGAAACAAAAATTGACCCTGCCGGGACTCAAACCAGCGACCTTCTTGCTGTGAGGCCCTGTGTTGCTTCGAGAATAAAATAAAGGACAAAAACTTTACCAAAGTAAATGAATAAATTAAAATAATTCATTAATTTTCCTTCAGCTTAGTCCCTTTATTCATCAGGGGTCGCCACAGCGGAATGAACAACCAACTATTCCAGCATGTTTTACACAACGGATGCCCTTCCAGCTGCAACCCAAGTACTGGGAAATAAATTATAGTAATATTTAAGAACCAAATCCTTTGTGGATGGATTTTGGCAGCGGTTGGGATGTTTTTGCGCTTGTTTTTGTTGTGTTTTAATTGGTTTTCAGCGTTGATGAACGGTTTCGGATTCGTTTTTTATCAAAGCTGTGCAGCTGTTGAGTGTTTTGATTGGTTATAAACGTGTTGTCGGTGTGTTCTGATTGGTTTGTAGAGTTTCTGGACGGTTGCTGGGGTGTTTTGATTGGTTTGTAGCACGTTGCTGTGCGGTAGTTGAGGTGTTTTGATTGGTCTCTAAATTTAGTCAGAAAAAAAATCCAAATTTAAGCCTGTATGATTAATATTTGATTAATATTTAATATGATATGATATTTAATATGATTAATATGATTAAAAAATTTTAGAGAGAGAGAATGTGTATGTTTTCCAGTACTAGGTTGCGGCCGGAAGGGCATCCGCTGTGTAAAACATATGCTGGATAAGTTGGTGGTTCATTCCACTGTGGCGACCCCTGACGAATAAAGGGACTACGCCAAAGGAAAATAAATGAATGAATGAATGAGGCCTACAACATGTAAGAGTCGTAAAGCAATTAATTAATTTCTGTTTAAGTTGTGAACAGAAATGCACCAAAATACTACTAATAATATAATGAGAAATAAGTTTGTAAATGATGAACTGAAATGATATTCATAAATGGGGGTGTTAATTGTTTCTCCACTAGATGGAGCCATAGATTCGTATTTGGTTAGTTGGGTTATCTATATATAAAGAAAATACAAACATGAATTTCGTTATTAAAAATGGAGCCGATCCGTGTTACAATAAAATCTAATAGAATTATTGTTATTAGAGTTATTGATAGTGATAGTAAATATTTTGAATATGGATATGGAGGGATTACATCAATCTGTTTGTTATGTAATAGAGCTATATTCACTAATTGTGTAACGAAATATACGAATAACATGTCCAAATATAAAGGTTTCCTTAATTATGCCTTGACTAAAACACTACTGGTCATCTAAGTGCATGGGTAATATATTTTGATGCATTTGAACAAAACAGATTTAGTAAACATATATATATTTATTAAATTATATTTTGTTTACAGAACATCTTTAGAAATGGAAAGATGATACATTTAAATTCATGCAAAAATATAGCAAAAAAAACTACATTTCAACAAAATTATATACATGTTTTTGTTTCTCTTGATTTTTGATATTTTTGAAAAAAGATTTTTTGTATTTTTCTTTAACATATACATTTGAACTACTAATTTCTGAACCATGATCGTAAGTTATTTTGTTAGATAAGCTCTAGATTTGGCTGACTAATCTAATGTATATGCACAAATATAATATTGTAAAGCATCCAATAGAAAATATTAATTTAAATGAGAGATTTGTGGGGGTTCATATTATATGCTGAGCACTATATATATATATATATATATATATATATATATATATATATATATATATATATATATATATATATATATAGGCCTACATATCTTCCATATATCTATTGCTGATTGTAGTTCATGTGTTCTAAATATATATGCAGTTTTTTTGTACAATAAAAAAATATGTATTTTATGCATTAATACAGCTAATGTAAATATAATTTAATTTAATTTAATTCAGCCAGAATTCATTCAACAATTCCCCAGGATTATTAAGGTGTAAATTGTTTAGATTTTTTTCCAGGGGATATTGTTGCTTTATGAGGCGTCAAGCAGTTATATACAGAATCCAGCCTTTCATTGCCATTATATTTCTATATGATATGATATTCATATAATATTGTCTAAGCGTATGAAGTTTCTAGTGAGAATACGTAGAAAATAAACACAACAAAATAAACAGTGATTATGAAGTAATAATGGAATAAAAGACAGACAAGCCACATAAATACATGAACATTAATGAATTACGTTATGTAATATTTATAATTCATAAATCAAATCCATCGTCATGATTTTTCGCGCCAACAGAGATTCCTGACCTACATCCAGATCCCAGGCATCGATTTATCCGCGCTCTTCGCATTGATCTCCTATTGGCTGTGTTAGTCCGCGTGGAGTCACGTGACCAGACAGTACAGCGTCTTTCTGCCTGCGCGTGATGTCATCCACGCACTACTTTCAGGCGCTGTTTGATTTATCCAGGAATCGATCGTCCAAATAATGCTGTGATTGCGATGGAAAAACGCGGGATGTAAAATAAAAATAGCGTTAATATTGTTACAGGAAACATCGACAGGTTTGCGCGCCTGCAGTGCTGGATTTTAAACGCGTTTTGAAGGATATAATCTTCATTTTGAGGCTCGTGTTCGTGTACAGTTTGTTTGTTAGCGTGCTAGTTTATCTAGTGGTTAAATGAGTCTAGTTTTCAGCACCAGCTCGAGGACAGCACGCGCTGACAGACATGTGTGTTTACTGTAGTAAAGCGGTGTAAAGGCGTGTTTGTCCGGGGATTGGAGCGGAATGGCACCGCGGTGGATCGTCATTTTCGTGGCTGTAACGTTACTGTGCGGTGAGTCCAGCATCATGTTCAGTCTCCATCTGCTGCTTTTAATCCACCACAATCCTCAAACAGCACTAAAGGCATAGTATATTAATGTGTTTTTGGAAAAGCAATCATAACACATTTATTTGCTATTCATCGTGATGATAACATAAATGTTAATACGCGACTACACTTCTACATCGAAAATGTGTCATACACATTTATCATGCACTTAATTTTCTATAGCATAGCATACTTGTTGTATAGCATCTCATACCTAAATGCTATTTTAGACCGAATAGTGTATATAGAAAATAAATAGTGTATGATATTCTAATCTATACACTATAAATACAGTGGATAAACACATACACTGTTCAGTATGACCTCAAAACAACACTAGCACTGTTTTATTGACCACGAACAATGTTGTACTTTAATAGTCACTGACGGACAATAATAATTCATTTTTTCAGAATTTGGAAATAATATTTTTCTGAAATTATAGTAAGAATCTGTATATCTTAAAAAGTTTGAATGTGCGAATTTTAAGGCGATTTTACCTCAGCCTCTATCATACCCTACAAGTTCAATAGCATGCCATAACGTTACTTGAATGTTATTTGGTATATATATATAGAGAGAGAGAGAGAGAGAGAAATATATATAATATATAGTGTATGATATTCCATATGCTATAAAAGCCCTATATGAAAACACTGTGCAAATGTCAACCTTGCCATGAAAAGCAATAAGTTTTCGCCAAAATATGGAAACGGTTTCTGGGTTTTTTGTGTAAGCAAGTATTTTAAAATACTTCAGAAATACTTAAAAATGCATCTGTCAGTATTTTAAAACTATACTATTTGATTTACCAAAGTCAATTTTACATCCATAACGGAGAGATGTCACATCCATAACGACGCTTTTTCCTCAAAAATGTGAAAACATTAAAGAAAATAAAAATGGATGGATGGGGCAACTATTACTGCATCCAAAATGTTGAAAAGGCTTGGAGTAATGATTGATGACCAACTAAACTTCTCTGACCACATCTCTAGAACTGCTCGATCGTGCAGATTCGCACTCTGTAACATCAGAAAGGTCCGACCCTTCTTATCTGAACATGCAGCTCAACTCCTTGTTCAAGCTCTTGTTCTCTCCAGACTGGATTACTGCAACTCTCTACTAGCCGGGCTTCCAGCTAACTCTATCAAACCTCTTCAGCTGCTCCAGAACGCAGCAGCACGAGTGGTCTTTAATGAACCTAAAAGAGCACATGTCACTCCGCTGCTCATCCGTTTGCACTGGCTGCCAGTTGCTGCTCGCATCAAATTCAAAGCTCTGATGTTTGCCTGCAAAGCGACTTCTGGCTTTGCTCCTTCTTATCTGCTCTCACTTCTGCAGATGTATGTGCCCTCCAGAAACTTGCGTTCTGTGAATGAACGTCGCCTCGTGGTTCCATCCCAAAGAGGGAAGAAATCACTTTCCCGAACTCTCGCATTCAATCTGCCCAGTTGGTGGAATGAACTCCCTAACTGCATCAGAACGGCAGAGTCACTCGCTGTCTTCAAGAAACGACTAAAAACTCAACCATTTAGTCTTCACTTTGCTTCCTAATCTGCAATTGACTCTCTGGATATACCACTAACTGTACCCCAAAAAAAAAAAAAAAAAAAAAAAGTACTAATACTTTCCTTCTTAGACTTTACAGACCTGAAACTTGCCTACAGCACTTATTCATTGTTGCTCTTATAGTTGTGTAAATTGCTTTCTTGTCCTCATTTGTAAGTCGCTTTGGATAAAAGCGTCTGCTAAGTGACTTAATGTAAATGTTAATGTAAAAAGCCGGAATTGCTCATATATACACTGTTCAATGTGAAACAGCACGACTAACAGTCTGACTTCAAAATAACATTAGCACCATTTAATTGACTGTGAACAATATTATATGTTGATAGTCACTGGCTGATAATAAGATTTCAGTGTTTATAAGTTGAAAATAGTAATTTAATGAAAATATATTGTTAAAAAGAAAGTCAGAATGTGTGAATAAAAAGCCAACTTTACCCCAATCAAATGCACTTAAACGAAAATGTATCATATACATCCATCACACTACGTTATTACATTACATTAGAATATATAGTGTAAGATATTCTGTACACTATTATTCCAGTGTACCAAACACTATGTATTCTATACACACTATTGGGTCTGAAATAACATGCAGGTATGACTTCAAAACAACATTAAAACTATTTAATAAAGATCAGATATTTAATCTGTGTTTGTATCATAAGAAGATTATGGCTGTATCAATGTTCCCAAACAAAACCTTATTAATTTTATAATAATATATAAAATAAAGGGCTAGCATTGCACCAGACCCCCGTAAGTGGTTTCGTTTGAAAGTGTAAAATCTATATTTTATGCACATATGCATCACTTTGGTTTTTATTCTACTGTACAAAGGTTATTTACACTTAAATACACAGTATTTTGGATACGCGAGCTGGGTATTGAACATTGGTTAATTTTCATAATTTTCATATGACACATGTACAAGTTATAGCTCAAATGAAAGCTCTTGCTGGTGCTCATACAGTTCTAGCATTCATTTACTGAATTATATTCACAAATCAAACAGTTGTCGAATGAATTGTGGTGTTTCCATGGCACAGAAGTGAAAACAATACATTCATGATCAATAAGTAGCCCCAGATAGCACAGACAGCTCATCTCTTACCTTATGCTGTGCTCTTCAGGGCCATTCTCCTCTGTTTTTGAGGTGATATGCATAAGTAATCCTTTTTTTTATGTCTGATGTGGTCCAAACACAGTGAATTATGTTTGATTAAACAAAAGAATAGTGAAATATGAAGACAATGATCGCTCCCTGTGGCTTGTACAGCACCTCTCATCAGTTGGAATACAATAACTTCTGCATAGATTATGGTGGAGACATTTTTCTTTTTTCCTATGATTACAGACATGTGCAGGAACCACCAACAATAATTACAGCACGCTAGACCACACACAACCTAAAATATGCACTTTCAAATATGAGTTTATAAAAAAAACACAAAAAGCGTGCTTTCTTAGGTGTTAATTATAACACAGACAGCATATACAGTTATTTTAAACACTTTCAATAGTGTTTTATGAAAATTCAAAGGGTTTTCTTCAAAATGATACCAAATTTTTGCATTTACACCTCTGCATGTGGATTTGGGAAGCTTTTAAATTTGGCTAGGCAAAATCCAGGCGGAAATCCCAAAATAGCAGCAGAGTTTAACTGGTTAAGATGTTTGTTTGTTTGTTTGTTTGTTTGTTTGTTTGTGTTTTCTGTTGTTAAATGGTGCATCTAACCTGTCTTCAGTACAGTTCAATTTAAATACATTTATTTTACCACTAATTTTGTGATTTAGCATTTTCTATTTATCTGTATGCGTGTTGTTGATATTGCAATAGGTCTTAAATTTAATACTTAAAGGTCTTAAAGAGGTCTTTAAAAAGTGTTAAATTGTGACATTATGATATCTGCAGAAACCCTTTTGTATTTGTTGCCATAGTAGTAATCCTGTGTCATGTAGAACCTACACTAAATTCTTGGAAGTTTTAGTAAAAGCTCATTTGCACTAGCTTGTGAATGATACACCGTCACACTTATGAGGTTGAGGCCAATATTGTCAAACAGCAAAAGGTGACATCATGTTCATGTGTCAACACTAAACTGCATCACAATGGCTTAGTAGTGTATCTGATCTTGGTTGCATATCTGCGTTCTCCACCGCCAGTCAAACAGCGAGTCACACAGACAGCTTTTAAACTGTGGGAAGAGCTTTGCATTGCATTCAAAAGAGCTTGTGCATGTCAAAACTACATTTGCATCTCAGATTCCAATGTTTTATAGAATTGGTTTAAAATGTATGCATAAGTAGCACACATTGTGAGTTTTAAGGTGAACAATTAATCCATGCAAGTTAATCCACTGAGGAAAAAAAAAAACAGTTTGCTTTGGTAATCTTTAATCTTCTGTCTGAGCATCTGCTTTTGCTCTGGAGCGTAGATGTATATGTGAACACTTTAGCTTTACAAGTTCTCACCATTATCTTGTGGCTTATTACCTGCTTATTCTTAAGATGTTGCCACTAGGGATGCAACGATTAACCGATTTCGCTATTAACCACGATTTAATTTGTCAAGGTTTATTAATCGTAAAGGCTCCTCAACACGGCGGCACGGAATAAAACGGCTGCAACTAAACAAAGTTATGCATGGCTTGTGCTCACATATTGGGAGTGACGTGTGCGCGCTGCAACACACTCACGCTTTTATACTCATTTCTACCCGCATCCAAAAAGGAAAAAGGAAAAAAAACACAAAATAATAAGAGCAAACATTTTTGTAATACGGTTGATCTAAAGTGCCTTTCGGACAGACATCCAGCAGTCTCTGACTACATTTGTTCTCTTTAAAGGAGAAATGCTTACATTTGCATGAGAAAATACTTATAATAGATTTACGTTAGACAAATACTGTTTGCTTTATTTATTTATTATTTAATTTATTATTTATTTATTTGTTTATTTATTTGTTTGTTTATTTATTATTTATTTATTCATTTTATTATATTCTTTTATTCATTTATTATTTTATTAATTTATTTACTATTTATTTATTCATTTATTATTTAATTTATTTGTTTACTTACTATTTATTTATTCATTTATTATTTATTTATTTGTTTGTTTATTTGTTTGTTTATTTATTATTTATTTATTCATTTTATTATATTCTTTTATTGATTTATTTTTTATTTATTTGTTTATTTACTATTTATTTATTCATTTATTATTATTTTTTGTTTATTTATTTGTTTATTTATTGTTTATTTATTATTTATTCATTTATTATTTTATTTATTTGTTAACTTACTATTTATTTATTCATTTATTATTTATTTTTTGTTTATTTATTTGTTTATTGTTTATTTATTATTTATTTATTTGTTTATTTATTGTTTATTTATTATTTATTCATTTGTTATGCATTTATTTGTTAATTTATTTATTGTTTATTTATTATTAATTCATTTATTGTTTATTTATTTGTTTAATATTTATTTATTTATTCATCTATTATTTATTTATTTGTTTATGTGTTTATTTTTTGTTTGTTTATTAATTATTTATTTGTTTGTTTATTTATTATTTGTTTATGCATTTATTCATTTATTTATTCATTCATTTTTATTTATTTTCAGCTTAAAATTATCACTTGTTTAAATGTCAGATAGTTTTTTTCACTTATTTTTAAGTCCAAAGAGAAATGTACTATTGTTTGTTTATCATTATTTTTTTGTGTTGTACAGTATTAGTTGGTTACTAAGCAGCAATAAATAGCACTTTAAAATATAAGGAGTTTTCATCTGATTTTAGAAACTAGTAGTTTTTAAGTCAATGAAAGCATAATAACCGTGAAACCGTGATTATTCCTCAGACTATAATCACACAACCCAAAACTATAATCGTTGCATCCCTAGTTGCCACTTGTACAAAGTACATATTCTGCATGATGGGCGGCATGGTGGCTTGTGGTTAGCATTGTGGTTCCACAACAAGAAAGTCGTTGGTTCAAGTCCCGACTGGGTCAGTTGGCATTTCTGTGTGAAACTTGCTTGTTCTCCCCATGTTGGTGTGGGTTTTCTCTGTAGTGTGTGTGAATGGGAGTGTATGGGTGTTTCCCAGCGATGGGTTGCAGCTGGAAGGGCATCCGCTGCATAAAATTAGCAAATTACTATCAATTAGCAGAGTTTATTGAGTTAAAAGTCAAATATAGTGGTTTATTAATAGTGAGGATTATGCATTAAAATAAAGTGTGAGTTCTCGAATGCAAAATTATATGTTTTAAGGGGTAAGTGGCTGGTTTATTTCTAATGTTAGTTTCTTTATCTAAATCAGAAGGTATTTTTAATAACTCGGACAGCTTTGCATCATAAATGATCTCACAGTTGTAAAACATGAGCGTAGACAGGCAGAATGGGGTTACTGTTGATTATTTAGACGCTTTATTCAGAGACGCATTACAGCACACACACATATGGGCTGCTTGGGAACTAAACCGAGGGAGGCTTGAATACACAATGCACACATCCAGTCCTGTGGGAATATATGGGGCGACAGGAGAGTCGAGACCACATGAGCTGATTATTAATGAAATGCACTGTATGGGGCTGCACAATATATTGTTTCAGCATTAACATCGCAATGTGCACATCTGCAATGTTTACATCACAGGAGGTGCAGTGCTGAGCTGGGATTAGTTGACTAGTTCATGACACATGAAATTTGCGGAGTTTAAAGGAGTCAGAGTTTTTCATCTGCATGTTTTATGGGAGTTTAAAGGAGGCAACAAAAGAAGAAGGTTGCTGGTTTGAGTCTGGGTCAGTTAGCATTTCTGTGTGGAGTTTGCATGTTCTCCCCGTGTTGGCGTGGGTTTCCTCTGGGTGCTCCGGTTTCCCCCACAGTCCAAACACATGTGCTATGGGGGAATTGATGAACTAAATTGGCCGTAGTGTATGAGTGTGTGTGTGAATGTGAGAGTGTGTGGCTGTTGGTAGCTGGAAGGGAATCCGCTGTGTAAAACATATGCTGCAATGGTTGGCGGTTCATTCTGCTGTGGCGACCTTTTTATCACAGTGACCCTTATTTAAGTGGAATTATCCTGCAGCGGGTCTATAATTTATCGAGCTCATTAAGGAAACTACTTTGTGTGTATTGATCCCTGTGTGTTTACAGCACATGGGTTTACTCTCTGTCTGTCTGTGTTTGTATGGAAAGAGGAAGAGAAACCTATATGTAACTTCTGTAACTCGGTGTTCTAACAACACGCGATAAAAGCTGCGGTATGGGGGAATTGAGGAACTAAATTGGCCGTAGTGCATGAGTGTGTGTGTGTGAATGTGAGAGTGTATGGGTGTTTCCCAGCATTGGGTTTTAGCTGGAAGAAGTCATTTTTATTCTTTGCTGTTTTTATTTCTTGTTTCTTTCATTGTTGTTTAAGTAATGCACTTTGAATTATCATGGTTTATGACAATTCTCTATATAAATAAAATTGCCTTATGCTCAGCACTTGATAGTAGGGTTGGGCATCTAAGCTATAATGCCGATCCGATACGCATCTCGATACAAAGAATACGATCCGATATATTAGCGATACATTTGTGACATATTGCGATGCAACACGATACGATTCACACCCATATCACGATACGATGCGATATTTCAGCACTAACTAATTAGATCAAGTTTATGAGATGATGTGAAAGAGGATGCTGTGCCATTGAATGAGTTTGATTATTTATTAACCAAGCAAAACCAAGACTTTTTTTACAAACTGGCTTTTCTCTCAGAGCCAGAGTGTCAGTTTACAGTAGAGGGCCATTTTAGAACATATAGCACATATTATTTAACTATTTTCAAGATAAACAGAATGTATAAGTGCAATATATATTAAAAAAATATGTATATATTTGCACTCTTTCAACATAAATAAAATTTGCATTGCACAACAAGAATTGTGATTTAACTTTTCAACTATGAAAACAAGTTTTACAAAGATATATTTTGCCACTGATTATTCAAAACTTAAGGTGGTGAACTAGCAGTGTTATGCTGCGTTGAAACATCACTGTCACTGTAAACAACAGGCTAATAAAAATATAACAAACCAGCAATCTTCTTGCTGTGAGGTGGTCAAACTACCCACTGTGCCACTGTGACACCCATTATTTTTATCATTATTATTATTAATATTATTATTATAATAAAATAAAAATTAACAGGAGGAGGTGTTTAAAACCTTCGTTCTCCGTGACACTAGGCTGAATATCTTTGCAGATGAACAATGCAATAGCATTCGTTATTGGCGTAGAGCGAGCAGAACTGTTGCGCATGGAAAAAAAAACTTGCAATGCTTTTCTCACCACTTTTGGAGCTGGTTGAAGCAGTGTGAAAGCCGGGGATGCAGAAACACTGGAAGATGCTTTCACAACAACACCGTGGCGCCGCTTCAAGTGAGATATCAGATTAGTCATACTGCCCGCGTATTTTACAGATGCGCGGCACATTTTGCAAATTGCATCTGTCCTGTCATGTCGTCCATCCTTAAATCCATAATGCTGCCATACTTTAGATTTAAAACTCAGTGGGGAATAAAATGTTTGTTTTGCTTCTCGCGCTTTCTGAGGGCGCTCCACTAGCTTCATCCGCACACCTGATACACTGAGTTGTAGTGTGTGCACATCCGCAAATCCGTTGCTAAGGCTTACTTTATGTAGGTCGATTAAATTATGCGCCAAAAACAGGTTGACAACACTTGTTAATAAATAAAAAAATACATTCTATATTAAAAATATAAGCTGTATCTCGGAAAAATCGATGCATCTCGCAAAAACCGATGCATCTCGATTTGCTTCCAAAATTTCATTCATCCTCTGCTGCTCAACCGATGCACTCGCATCGTGAACGCGCATAACCGCGTATCGATACATATCGGTTAATCTTCCCATCCCTACTTGATAGTGTACAGGGTGGGCCATTTATTTGGATACACCTTAATAAAATGGGAATGGTTGGTGATATTAACGTCCTGTTTGTGGCACATTAGTATATGTGAGGGGGCAAACTTTTCAAGATGAGTGGTGACCATGGTGGCCATTTTGAAGTCAAACACATTTTATAAGTGGTCAAAAACTTGTAAATAACTCATGAATGAACAGAATTATTTTAAAACCAAGCACACCATTGTTTTTCTTGTGAAATTCCCAATAGGTTTGATGTGTCACATGACCCTCCTCCTATTGAAAAAACAAAAGTTGAATCCAAGATGGCCGACTTCAAGATGGCCACCATGGTCACCACCCATCTTGAAAAGTTTGCCCCCTCACATATACTAATGTGCCACAAACAGGACGCTAATATCACCAACCATTCCCATTTTATTAAGGTGCATCCATATAAATGGCCCACCCTGTAAATTGAATGCATAGAAGTGTCATCATGAATACAGCTAATGCCCTTCAATGATATGTCATTGAAACTTAAATAAATATATTGTTTTTGTGTGTTTAGTCTTGCAGGTGTATGTGTGTCGTGAGGTGACTCTTCCTGCCGGGCCGCTATACCGGGTTGCAGGTTTCTCGCTGTCTCTACCCTGCGCCGTTTCTGCATACGAAGGCCCGCGGACGCAGGATTTTGAGTGGTATCTGTACCGCGAGGATGCTGGAGGACGACAGATTGGTGTGGTGTCCACCCGAGACACCGGGTTTCCATACGCACCGTTCCAGAGCCGTGTGCAGTCCGGGGAGGTTCGGGTGGAGAGAGACTCTGGAGATAAAGCCAGACTGATTATCCAAAGGCTCCGAGCGGATGATCAGGGCCGATACGAGTGTTACACACCCAGCACAGACACTCGCTTTCTGGGGAACTACAGCTCGTCTGTCACGGTCAAAGGTGGGTCACACAAATAAGATTCATTTATTAGCATCATTTCAAGAGTTCACACTTAGACATTGCTTGACAACTGTTAGCAGGTTTGGCATGCTGTCCCGGGAGAGAACCCTGAGCTCGGAGATAGTTGAGCCCAGGGCTCCCGCCAGGTCCATAGAGCATGTGAGGGGAGTACGAGGTCAGGTGGTTCTCGAGAGCCTCCCTTTTTAAAGGAGGAAAGGAGGAGAATGGGGGGTTTCTTCAGAAAACGAAGATAAGGGAGTAACATCTAGCTAGGCTACTTATAGTGAGTTAGGATAGATCTGATTGGCTAACTAATGAGTGTAGATAGGTGGCCAGCTGCAGTCAATTATATCACGTGCTCCTCTCGAAATTAGTTTAAAAACACTTAATATATCAAGTTTAAGTAGGGCTGGGTGATTTGGGATAAAATCAAAATCTCGATTAATTGAACATTTTAACTATATTACGATTAATGAACGTTTATTTTATTTTTATAAATATATATTAATGTAAATCAGTATATATCACCCTTAATGCTGTGTTCACACCAGACACAGAACGCACGGATAAATTGCGCTATTCGCGCGTAAATTGCCGCATGAACATTTGAGTTTACTCGCTTTATTCGCGCGTCAAACCCCGCTTCATTCGGGCGTGAAATCCGCTTCATTCGCGTGTCAAATTCACTTTAGAACAGACGCGGATTCGCGTGATGGGCAGGGCTTCTGTCTGCCCGGTGACTGTAGCTTCATAGCTAAATGGCTAACATGGATTTTATGAAGAAAATAACAGTGTTTATGTACTTTAGGAAGGCTGAAAAACAGCATCCATACGTTTAGGACCGTGTCTGAGTCCACTACATCTTTTCAGAGGTGCATCCAGCTCTGTGAGCTCATAAACTCCTCCAGAAACTGAACCTGGATCACGGAGGCTTTCGACGGTGCTTCTGACTGAGTCAAGCCCAGTTTGATGACTTGTTGTCGGTGTCGCCTGGAGGATTTCCCCTGGGACACCATCAACAGGTTCTACGTCACAATCACGCCCCCACAAGAGAAAGCTTCTGATTGGTTAACGTGGCACGAATGTACGCTGAAGTTCAGATTTTCAAACTCGAGAGATTAGCGCGAAACGCTCGTTAAGCGCGTCAAATGCGCAAAACGCTCAATTCGCCTCGCGCGTATCGCGCTATTCGCACCGCGCCATTCGGGCAATTAGCGTCATTCGCTTCGCGCCATTCACACGTATCGCGCCGCAGGATGTCTATTCGCGCGTTTGCATTGACTTAACATGTAAATCACTCGCGTTTGACGCGCATTCCGCGTCTGGTGTGAACGCAGCATAACAGAGCGGGGTCACGTGATTCCACACACAGTAGGGAAAATAATCCAAAAAACAGACCAGGAAAATTTGATTTATTATAGGTTCTGAATAGATTCAATTATTTTTTTGATTAATCGCCCAGCTTTAAGTTAAAGTCAGAATTATTTGCCCTCCTCTGAATTTCGGCTAGAATAAAAGCAGTTTTTATGTGTTTTAAACCCATTTTAAGGTCAATATTATTAACTCTCTTAAGCAATATTAGTTTTGGATTGTCTCCAGAACAAACCACTGTTATACAATGACTTCCCTAGTTACCCTAACTTTACCCTAATTACCCTAGTAAAGCCTTTAAATGTCACTTTAAGCTGAACACTAGTGTCTTAAAGAATATCTAGTCTAATTTAGGGATGCAACGATTAACCGGTTTCACTATTAACCACAATTCAATTCGACATGGTTAATTAATCGTAAAGGCTTCTCAACATCGTGTTTTTGCACGGAACAAAACTGCAGCAACTAAACAAAGTTATGCCAACTGTGAGCTAGTTTGTACACCGAGACTAAAAACCACGCACGCTGGACTGACTATGACTGAGGCTATTAATTAAGGCAAGCTCATTCAAGGTCGGTATTTCTAATGGAGGGACACGCAACACGTTCACGATTTTCAGGCGCACCTAGTTGAGATGACAGGAGCTTTTGTGACCGCAGGAACTGCATAAGGCTAAAGTTTGAGGTAGAAGCAATGGAGAGTACAAAGAGTTTGCAAACTCACTTAAACCCCCTTACAAATAATAGCGCTGATGAGAGCGGTCATGTGGTGAGTGTTGATCCGCCAGCTCAGATTAATCGAGTGTTTTTGGAGAGAGTGCCGAAAGACTTGAGCCTGTTTCACACTGCAAGCGTGAGCAGTGCGTGTTTTTTTGGTGTCCATGTTAACAGATTAGAGCTTTTAAAATGCATGCATCAAGCTCAATAAAGGTGACAATGCGTTGATAATGACCAAAAACACATTGAATCAGGGGCGGACTGTGACTAAAAATCAGCCCTGGCACTGTAGCCACACCAGCCCACATTACCACACCGACACAGCCCCACCCAAGGACACGCACATTCACTACTTATATTGGTGTACAGATGGTAAAATTATATAAGCAGTACCTATTTAAGAGATATTTAAACATTTAAAGTATGTGACTGAAACAAAAGCAACCCATTTATATATGCAATCATGTCATTAATTTTCTTTTCGGCTTAGTCCCTTAATAATCTGGGAATCGCCAACTTATCCTGCATATGTTTTACACAGTGGATGCCCTCAAAGGTGCAACCTATTACTGGATTACCCAATTCACAATTGGCCTTCCCAATTCACCTATAGCATGTGTTTGGACTTGTAAAGAAACCAGAAGCAAACCCACACGAACATGCAAACTCCACACAGAAACACCAACTGACCCAGATGAGGCTCAAACCAGCGACTTTCTTGCTGTGAGGCGACAGCACTACCTACTGCACATCACACTGACCCCTTTCGAGACTAGTTCTGTTAATTTTATGTAATTGGCAATGTCTGACTTGACTGCCTTTCCCTTTTTATGGTCCATCTCTGACAATTAGCTTGTGTTGCACTTACTGTTTGTTTGACATTCTTTCCAAATTTTGATAATGTCTGCGTAGCCTCAGATTGGGTCGGCCCATCTCGAAACCAGCCGGTTGTTGCTGATTGGGCCAATGCTTAACATTTACTGTTATTCTTACTATTATCACCATCATCATCATAATATTCACATCTCGCACGAGATAAAAGCTGCCGACATTTAAAAAAACAATACATATGAAAAAATAAATACAATTAAAAAACAGCTGACCGGCCCACATTTAAAAAATGGTCCGGCGCTTCTGGCATTTGCCAGAATTGCCAGATGGCCAGTCCGCCCCTGCATTGAATGACACTAAAAAGTAGCAATTTTACCCAATAAATGCATCAATAATATCCACAAATTTTTATATAGTCAATCAAATGAACTTTTAAAACGGCAGCAAATACTGTATGTATTTAGGGCCGAACTACAAAGCCAAATTTAAAATAATTTCAGTTTTAAACTAGTGGAGTTTTGAAATCAATGAATACAAATAATCATGATAACCGTGAAACCGAGATTATTTCTTAGACTATAATCGTACAACCAAAATTTATAATCGTTGCATCCCTAGTCAAATATTATCTGTCATTATGGCAAAGAGAAAAGAAATCAGTGGTTAGAAATGTGTTGTTAAAGTATTAAAAAATCTAATTCACAAGAGGGTGAATAATTTTGATTTCATCTGTATATTGCAGGTTATTCGTCTAAATCTAAAGAGAAATCTATTTCTCCTTGTTGTTTCTGCAGTGATTCCAGACACTCTTCAGATAACACACTCTCGTATTCTGAGCGGTCAGCCTGTGATTGAAGGCACGGAGCTGCAGCTGACCTGTGCGGCGTCTGTTCAGTCTCAGCAGCACACACACGTGTCGGTAACGTTCGGCGTTCGCAGCAGCAGAGAAACCGAATCTCAGGGCCACAACCTGCGTGAGATCATCAGCATCGACCGCGAGCTGCGCGTGACTCCGGGCCACAGCGGAGGATTCGCCAAACGCCACCGAGACGGAGAGATCACTCTGGAGAAGCGCAAGGGGGACAGAGGACAAGATCTGTACACGCTGAAGATTAGCGCTCTCACACCAGAGGATTCTGGGTCGTATTTCTGGGAGGCTGCGCAGTGGATTCGAGATCCTGATGGAAAATGGGAACGAATCGCATTGAGGACCATGGAGCTCGGGAATCTCACCGTTCAACCACTTGGTTAGAAACAACCTCTCTTTATTTTAATCTGGGCTCTTATTTATTAAGCTTTTTAAAATGAATCATGAGAACAGTGCTAAGAAATCACATGAGTAAAATAATTCAGTTCATTTATTTAGGAATTCATCATTTATAGGGGTGTAACGATATTACAAACCGAACTGAAATATCGCGATACACCAACCACAATACGCTTATTTCATTTAAAGAACCAAAGCGAGGCTGCGGTGGGAAGAAACCCGTAATTATAGGACCAGCACTGTAAACATTGCAGTAACATGCCGTGTACTATAAACCTCCAGCTGTTGCCGAGATTTTAAAATGCAGAAATGGTGTAACCATCACTTTAATATCATTCAGTAAGTTTATTTTAAACAATTAAAATCAATTTAGCATTAAACAACATCACAATCTCAGTAATGCGCTTAAGTGTCCTCCTGGGCTTCAGCTCATGGCACCAGTTAAACACTGTGAGGACGCTTCTCTGCTTCAGCCTGTGTAACCCGGTGAGTGATAAACACTGCAGTCCTCTGCAGCACACCCTCGTGTTGTCTGTAATAGTGTTGTCCTGGTCCTGAAGTTTTAAACCCGGCTATTTCCCGCTAACATGGAAGCGCTGCTGAGCGCGGATGACTCGACTGATCTTCACGGCTTCGCGCTTCAGTCTCCATGTATCTGCGTTTGGTTTGCTCTCAGTTTACCGCTCTTCACCCAGTGCAAACACAGATACACGGACTGGAGCGCGAAGCAGCCGTCAAGATCAGTCGAGTCATCAAGCAGATCGCTCCTCTGTCTGTGCTGTGTGTGTGTGCTCGGTAAACAGCGGTGAACTGATGACCTTCTCGGCCAATCACAATAATTTCTGTTGAACACGTGACCAAAATGGCAAATCAGCGCTGTTTTAAGAAAGCCATCAACAGTGCCGTAATGTTTGCGGGATATTTGTTTTTTTTCTTTTAATTCAGTATCATGACAAGTCTTATATAATAAAAGAATCAGTTTATTAACTCGAGTTTGATAAATGACATCTAAAACATGTGTTTGGGAAAGAAAACATTAGCTAACTAGTGCCATTTCCCTTAACTTAGCTGAAAATGAGCTCTGATTTCCCTTTTTACATTCACCATTCATTCAGAACGGACCTCCGGATCACCCGGATGGTGGAGAAATGATAAATTTGTGTCACTTTATCTTCACTGATAAGCTATATAGCCAATTACACAACATTCTTATGTAACTCCCAATGATACTTCCGGGTTTCTTCCCACCGCAGCCTCGATTTCCCTTTTGAAAATGCCGGCCGCGTGAAATCAGTCTATACGTATCGCGAAACTCTCATGGCGTACCGTTGAGGTTGACGACACTTCTCTCGAACTAATTGGAACAATTTAAACATCTTTATTTTATCACATTTGATTAAATTGTGTTAGCAATGATGAGCTTTTGTTCTAAATATTATATTCTAACGTTAGTATTTTCCAAGTGCATGTGATGTGACTTGAGTGAGCGATCACACTCGCTTACTACTGTATACGCAGAATTGCTGCTTCGCATAGTACTGAGATTGCAGATGGGAACATTTTGGTTTACAGGAATGGAATTCTTGTTGTAGAAAACAAAGCGCACGCCTATCTATCATAACTTTCACAAAACTTACTTATAAGGAATAACATTTAAAAAGTGTGGTAATTTCACAGTGGGACGGTGTAAGCAAAAGGCACTGACAACAGAACTGCCAACAGAAGTGATTTAATGTACAAAAGTGAAACCAGAATAATGCCCAAATATATACAAAAAAGAGAAATATTTACAATAATAAAAAGAATATAATAAAGTAGCAAATTCAAACAAAGATTAGTTCAACTCAAGGGTAAGGAGAAAGAAATATAACAAAGCAATTCTAACTCATGAATAATCCCTAACCTCGCTAAAAACTGATAAAAAGAAAAGTAAGGTTTTCAGCGCCAAGTGCTGTATTCTTCCCTATACTGAACTGTAGAATAAAATTAAAACAAAGATGACGTTCCTCTCTTACCTGATGTCTTTTACAATACATTTACTACATGTTTGCAAAATGGAAGTTGTACGACATCTTCCCTATCCACCGTACTCTGAGAAAAGAGTGAACTTGAGGAGGTATAGCTCAATATGTCGGGAGCTGAGCTGAGAGCTGAGCCAAAAATAAACAAACAAATCAATCGAAATAAAAATGATCAAAAATCACAGAATTTCTCAAAGTGGCCAAAAGTAATGCAAAATAATTTTACCCAAATGAAAGTTGAGCTAAAACAACGAAAATCATAATCTTGTTAGCAAAATAAACGAAAAACGGGATCAAAGGAAAAAGCGATGTCCTCCGCCTTTTCTGACATGCTTTTTATATCCCCGCACCATGTCGCATAATGATAATAGATAGGTCTCCTGACCAATCAGCTGAGTGAAGGCGGACCTACAGAAATGAAAGACATGAGCTGTTTCTCAATATGCGTACATCTTCATACGGAGGACGCGTGAACTTTCCCAGATGTGATCTTGATATCGAGGACGCACCGATGCAAACTTGAGCACCGAACTCGCTCTGGAAGTCCCAGAAATCATTGCAACTGGAGGTGGGAAGCGCAGCATTTTATTTAGATTTATTATTAAAGTTCAAAGATATAAATTATTTACCTCAGGAGTAAGGATGTCCCGATACAACATTTTAACTTCCGATACGATACCGATATTGCAGCCTTCAGTACGAACCGATACCGATATAAATCCGATATCAGCACAAATTATAAATACTTTACTTTTACCTATTTTGTCGAGTGGAATGTATGAAAGGCTAGATCAAACTGAGAACAAAAGTCAGCAACAGTAAGTATGGAAATAAACAACCAGTTTATTAACAATTGGTTGCATAAATGTGAACTTTTACATAAGAATATATATAAAGGAATTAAAGAATAAATATTAAGACCGTAAAACATATCTTAATTTAATAAACTAAATACATTTATAAAGTGCAAAATACTAATTAAAGGTCACTTCAGTTATTCATTTTTCCCATCAGCAAATGGTAGAAACTGTGAGAGCAGGAACATAAGAAAAAAATATTGTTAATTGAATAACTGCTAAAGGTGGAGTGTCCAAAGTTTCAATCTCACACACAGCTTCTTGATGAATTTGTGATCCAGTTGAGCTGAAAAATATCTTTCACACTGGGCAGCAGAAATAAGTTATAGTTAAGTTAATAAAAATATGCAGTATGGTTAGTACAAACATTTACATGATCAGAGCTATTTCATCTGTGTTTGTATCATAAGAAGATTATGGCTGTATCAATGTTCCCAAACATTATTACTTTTATAATAATATATATTGCACATATCATATTTAACATAAAAATACTTGCAGTGGCTAGATTGAAACACACGTTTTCTCCACAGAACTTGAAATAATGTGACTTTTAAGAATAATTTTATTTATCAAAATTAATTTGCATATTTGCACAGATTCCACCCTACTGCCCACATGGGAAAAGTACGACAATGTAAATAAAGAGAACTGCAAACTTGTGTGCAAAGCTGACACTGTTTATCAGAGCACTTTATCTTTCTGTTTGTGTAAGTTTGCTGAAATTTTTATTAAATTCTGTTATATTTATGGTGTGCAGAGTTTATTTATAATGTTTTTTATGCAAGGTAAATATTTTGAAAACGGGGGAAAAACAATAAATCGTTGTATGAATGCTGTAATGTTTAAATAATTTACCGAGAGAGAGAGAGAACGGGAGGCAAAAAAACAACCTATATACGACTACAACCGGTCAGACAAAACTGCAACGTATTTTACTGGTGAATATGTCATGTTAAAAACACTTTACAAACACATATGTATATTTTTCATTAATTTAAACGGAAACCTTTCTATCTAAATGAAAACTTAGATGATCATAAATGAGCATCACTATTTATTTAATTTTAGTTTACTCTGTTATGATGGCTGCACTAAAGAGAATAGTCTTTTCTATCTATAATGGAGGTATTTATTTAATTTTAGTTGTTTACTCGGGTATCCTGATTGTACTAAAAATCTGATGGCAACGTTATTAAAGATAAAGTTCAGTTGTTCTTGTTATTAAGTGTAAAAATTACATATTTAATGCTTTGTTCATTCTCCACAAATAAACGTAGCAAATTATAATAATAATGTAGATTAACTTGCACGCATCTCCAAATTAATAATCTGTGACAAATTATAATGTAGATTAAAGTGCTCGCATACCTACACCATTATTACTGTAGTAAATTAGCTCAAGGTTATTCTTCCCGCGCCTTTCCCGCCGTTATAATGTTGCGAGTTATGATTCAGATTTCAAGGCTCGTGTACCTTCTGGAACATTATATACCGGACTAGCTTAGCGGGAGGAAGATTCATTTGAACGGGGCTTGAAGAGGTTGAGAAGATGTAAAGATGGGTAACCTCTGAGTTTGTAAGGACAAACCAAGCAAACCAAACGTAATCAAATTCAATATAATCCTTCTATTGTCTCTTTAGGGTTGAATTTAGTTCACACGAGTTTAGATGTTGGGAGAAAGGTGATACTTGCGGTCTGTTCGTGATGTCCGAATTCCTGTTGTTGAGCATGTGGTTGGTTGGCTGATCCTTTGTTACTCACGAGGCTTAAAGTGAAGGTCGATGTTTGAAGCTGAAGCCGCAAAAGTTTCTGAACAGTCCGAGCGCGGTGCGATTAACCCTTTCCGTCTGGGTTTCCGCCTGCTTTCTTGACGGTTTCAATACTTAGGTTTGTGAGGAAGTTGCAGAGAGTGTGAAGAAGGTTTCAAAACAACATGTTTCCAGAGCAGAGAGGGGTGCGATGAGAGAGGTTGAGTTTAGCCTTTATAGGTCTTAAACCTTTATAGGGCGGGTTCGGATCCACCCTCCATGGAAAGTTGACCAATTAGAAGCTAACTTCCTGGAATACTAATTTTACAGCCCTTTGTTCGAGGCAGAAA